TTTTTTGTGTGCTCGATCCTTACGGAGGGGGAGGCCCACGTGATCTGACAGCGACGAATGCTCTCAGTGGTTTCTGACTACACGAATTATAATCTGTGGTGAATGTCTTTCATCATGGCACACGTCAGCACAGCGCGCCCTCTGCTCCCCTTTTTCGCGTATTTGTATATGTGTGATGTGGAGTGCAGATCGGTTCGTGTGAAACGACGAGCATTCTTCGATTAAAATCGCGGAACACGCGCCGAGTGTTTCGGAATCGCTCGCCAGGATGGTAAGTGAATGTTTATAATATATGGGACCGCTGTCAGAATCCTCGATTCCCCAAAGGGAAATCACGAGCTCGCAAACATCGTCCGCAGACGTCATCCATTTAGCGGCGTGTGACCACCAGGCATTTAATTCTACGAGCCAATTGCCAGCCAATTAAATACAGCACCGTTTTCTTTTTTCAGGTACTCATCGCCGCTGCGGTATGCACCAAAGCTGGGAAAAGTGAGTTTGTAGAATATTCTCGCGCTCTCGAGGTATACGCGTCGCGTATGCGTGTCTCGTTCCGATTTCACCCGGCTGTACCAAACTTGTCACATGACAATACCTTTATCTTATATCTTTCATTCACATTCTATTTTATTTATTAAGAAATATACGTTAATCGGTCGGTTGTAAAAAAAAAAATCCATAATTTTTGTTCATTTAACTTCTTTTTATTGATAGAATTGAGTAATTTGAGAAAATATTACTTGCTACGATTGTTTCATCCTATCATGGTTTGCATTATTTTTCCAGCCATAATTTCTCGACAGTTTGTCGAAATGACGAAGGCAAGGATAGAAGGCCTACTTGCTGCATTTCCAAAACTAATGAGCTCGGGTAAGCAGCATACGTTTGTAGAAACGGAATCTGTCAGATACGTTTATCAGCCCCTTGAGAAAGTATACATGCTGCTTATTACAACTAAGGCCAGCAATATTTTGGAAGATTTGGAAACCTTAAGGCTCTTTGCAAGAGTGGTAAGTAGTATATCAATCTCTGATTTGTAAAAATATTAAAACCAGGATTAAGAAGTAATATGTTACTTGTAACTCCACTATTGTTACAATTATTTTTTTCAGTAAAATTGATAAGGATATATCTTTTATTAGTAATAATGCTAAATTTTTTAATAATGACAATTATAATTATTATTTTAATATACAATTATTAAATTGTATATGTCTAAAATAAATACAGATTATAGGTATCAGGTATCAGGTATAGATAGGTACAAGCAAATTTAAAAAAAAATTTTTTAATTTAGTACAAAATACCTAAAATTAAAATAATTTATTATTTCTTGAGTGATAGTGAATGACAATAATCTTGAGTAATGGAAGTGAATTACTTTCTAAAAGTAATTCTCTTGATCTTAGTTGAAACATATAGTCATATATGAGTTAAGAATATATACAGCAGTGTTTGAATCTTACAGATTCCAGAGTATTGCAGCTCAATGGATGAACTTGAAATAGCAGAGAATGCATTCAATTTGATATTTGCATTTGATGAGATAGTTGCGCTAGGCTATAGGGAGAATGTTAATTTAGCACAAATCAGAACTTTTGTGGAAATGGATTCACATGAAGAAAAGGTGTATCAAGCGGTCCGATTGACACAGGAGCGTGAAGCTAAGAACAAAATGCGTGAAAAGGCCAAAGAATTGCAGAGACAAAGAATGATGGAAGCTAACAAAAAAGGTGGAATTAAAAGTCCTGGATTTGGCGGAGGATATGGAAGTGGTAGTACTCCAGCTACTCCAACTGTTGGTGATACAGCTAACTTTGTGCCTGAACCGATTAGACCTTCCTATAAACCGAAGCAGTAAATCAATTTTAATTTCTATTGTAATTATATGTGCAGATATTTCTAATATGAATATTAATATTTGACTTTTTTTTTTATCAGGAAACCAGTCAGTGCTGGGCCAGGTGCAATGAAATTGGGTGGCAAGTCACGTGATGTGGATTCTTTCGTCGATCAATTGAAAGAGGAAGGAGAAAATGTTGTATCAGGACCTCTTACGGCTTCCGGAACAAAATTGGCACAAATCACCCCTCAGATAGTTAACACAGAATTGTATGTGATTACATTGATGATACATAAAAAGTTTGAAGATTATTCACAAATAATTTATTCAAACCAATTTTCATCAAAAGGGTTCACTTGAGGCAAGAAGAACGAATTAATATACGCGTCGGTCGGGATGGAGGTGTACAAAACTTTGAATTGCATGGCTTGGTGACTTTACATATCTCTGACGAGAAATGGGCACGTATTCGTGTACAAGTTGAAAACAGAGATCCAAGAGGGATACAGTTACAAACTCATCCGAATGTGGATAAAGAATTGTTTAGAACACATGGACAGATAGGTTTGAAAGTACCCACGAAACCATTCCCATTAAACACTGACGTTGGTGTGCTGAAATGGCGTTTCCAAGTTCACGGAGATGTAACATTACCACTTTCAAGTAAGATTATAAATAATAATTTTTATATAGAATTTTACATTCATAATATACAACTTATGAAATGTGCTATAACAAGTAACATAAATTCTTAAGTATCATAAATAATATTAATTATAAAATAAATTTTTGTTAATCGATAAAATTTAGAGATGTAATTGTTTGCTATGTAGTAAATTGCTGGCCTTCTGAAAACGGAGAGAGTGGTTGTGATGTGAATATCGAATATGAATTGGAAGAGACCGAACTTGAGTTGAACGACGTTCAAATAAACATTCCTCTTCCTATTGGATGTACTCCTATCGTCAGCGAATATGACGGACAGTACACACACGAAGCCCGACGAAACACATTAGTTTGGTCCTTACCAGTAATCGATGCTTCAACGAAATCAGGCTCTATGGAATTTTCAGCCCCTTCTTCTACGCCTGCGGACTTTTTCCCACTTCACATTTCGTTTACATCTAAAACGCCTTATGCCAAAATTATGGTATAATATACAAGAATTTATTCATGTGCAAATTATTAATATAAAGATGCTAATTAAATCATTTTCATTTTCTAGATTAGCGAAGTTAAGCATGTAGAAGACCTGACCCCAGCTAAGTTTTCAGTAGAATCTGTGTTGTTCACTGATAATTATGAAGTTGTATAAGACATTATGGATAATAGATGAAGTATTTGCAGATATAATAACACGAGAATAGGCACAGTTCAGTGAGGACGCATAATGTTACGATCAATAATCAAGATTGACTACTATTTGAATTTTTATTTTATTGCCATATAGCCATTCCTTATGTGATTATTGAACATACATTGATATATGTCATTCGTTATATTTAACGTACATTTCACATGCTCTTTGATAGCTGTTCGGTGCCGAATACTTATACAGGTTTGTAAAAAAGAAAATATATTTTAATTGGACATGATTTAATTATAATTCATAAATGCAAATTTATCATATTTACTTTGTACTTGATACATATATTTTAGTATTGCAATAGCGCCTGCAAAGGATTGTATTATTACCAAATATATATATATCAAATTTTGTTACTTGTTGGTAAGTCTATGTACCTTATCTCGATTAACATCTTTCACGCTATTGCCATTTTATTACAGCTTTGTTGAATCAATAAACAATGAAAATATTGCTGTTTTTCAACGTTTATTTACAATTTATAGAAATGTATATAATATACAAATATTGTATGTACAATTTAATATATTTTTACAAATCATCTGTTGCCATACTTATAATTTGTGGTATTAAATGGTTCTCAATAACCGCTTTAGCTATAAATTAATAAAAGACCGAATTAACTATTTTCATATAAAATATTGTTTTAATGGTTAAAAGAAAGTCCTTACCACTCATTGAATTATTCATTACTGCTGCTTTGTAAGCACTTATGTTTGAAGAATTGGTAAGCGTTACATCTGCACCTTTTGTTAACAATTCATAACATACGTGTGGATGATCGAAATGTGCTCCATATATTAAAGGAGTATTACCATCCTATATCATAGAAATATAATTATGTAATACAAAATATGACATATTAATTTTATACTTTGATAAAGAAAGTGTAACATATATACCTCGTCGCATGCATTAGGATCAGCACCATGATTCAATAATAGTTTGACAACATCGTGATGACCATAGGCGGCCGCCAAGTGTAGACTAGTCTGTAATTGTGGTCCACTACGATTTATATTGGCGCCCCATTTAAGCAATTGCCTGGCACTACCTAATTGTCCATAAGCACAGGCCCACATTAATCCTGTTAGACCCTTTTCATCAGTCATATCCACTGAATCTATAAAGTGTAAAGATAAATTATTCTACAATATTGTTTATACATCAATTTAAAAAGATATAGATACAGCATACTGATTTACTTGAGTGTATATGATCGGATGTAAGTTCTCCCTGACCCGCCAAAGTATGAAAGGTGATATCGTTTCCTATGTAGAGTTGGTGTATCTGTGTTTGAGTGTTGCCTCTTTGCAGATTTGTGAGCAGAGTGGGTGGCTACAAATAGACAAGATAAACCTTATATTTAGGTAAAACACAGATACTCCATGACCTATAAGAGACAGTATCGCATTAGAATCTGCATAGCGATGAATAAATCCCCTAATATTTGAGATCGGTATTGATGTTCCGTGTTGAGGGAACAAAATTGAGGGAAGGATTATTAATTAATACCTTATACGGTTGGAACGCGCTGGTCCTGGTCGCGTCTTGCCATGCTCCTGGTGCCCAGTAACATTTCGTCTCGATCGGTTCGGATTTGCAGCCAATGCTCACATTTTCCGGTTTGCAAATCAAGGGCTTCGGTCGTATCCCGATCGACGTCGCGTCAGGAGTGATGCTCTTTTCGCTCTCGGCGGAGCGTCGTCCTTCCTTACAAGTGTCCTCGTCGCGTTCCTTCTTCATGATCAACTCCGAGTAGATCTGATCTTTCTCCATAGCTAGTTAAATATAAATTTCTGACTGCACGAACGATTCAATCTCGACCATGTCCACCTTGCACATTATCGCAATAACGTAGCAGACGTAGCAATGAAATTCTGTGTTAAATCTGTATGAAACGGGGAATCATGTCATGCGTTAGAGGTTAAAAACGCGTCGTCCAAGGTTGATGACATCTCACGTCGAGAAACGTCAGATTCGATCATCTGGCCTCGTCATACTATTTCATCGCTTAATTTAAACGCGACAATAGCCACGCAGCTCCCACAAATATTGTACTTCCATTGGTGTATCGCGTTTCTTTCTCCGTTGGATTTCTGGCTAATTATGTCAAAGTATCGAAGATTTCCGCAATCTCCAATCCTAAACCTAATGAAGGGATGCTACATCATATTTATCAAAGGATTGCGAAGTGGTTGCGAGTGAAATTTCCGCGCGACTGGAATGACATTTTTCAAGATACACATGCACATGCGTGTGCCGATGATTGATTTAACTTTAAAATCGCATAGCCAACGATATTTTTAAGTTTTATTTTTGTTTTTTCCTCGCCATTTATCATTATTTTATCATTGTGTCGTTGTGTCGATTTATTTACAATTATTGACCTTTGCGTTTTTTCATGCGCCAAAGTGATTAAAACTTCCTACTTCCTTTTTATTTAATCGAGAATTTACGAATTAATTTACATTAAATAAGGAAGATATAATGATAATTTCAAGTTGATTTTCGTTAAGGATAAATGCAATTAATAAATGTTATCTCACTTTCCTTTTTGTGTATCAGGATGTTTTTGGGCCTGTTCTATCCTTCATAAAAACAATTTCCAAATAAAACATAGGGGATGCTCCTTGTTTGAGATATCAAATTTGATCTCGTGTCACAAAAATAAATACGAGCCAGCGTTATTCTTTTTTTATCATGCAACAAAAAGTTAATAATTCTAGTAATATGATATAAGCGTTACTTGTATAAATAAATTAATTTTGCCAACGCAATTGTTTAGAATGTAGCGAACTTTCTGCATAGTTTCGACGTTCCTAATCTTTCTTTCCACGTGTGTCAGACAATAAAAAAACAAATAAGTCTGTCCACGATGACGAGAACAGTCGAGATATTAGTTGATAAACTGATCGAATAATTGATTGATTAAATTAATCATCGGAGTTTAGTCGATGGAACCGTGGAATATTTTTTCAGTCAGAAATATGAGAGACGCGACGATAAGTAAAATACGCATTTCGGATTCAGAGTTATTTATTAACACAGTATACTTACAGCATTCATTAGACTAATGAGGGGAGGAATTTACTAATTTGGCATTGAGAGGGGAGGGAGACTGATCTTGATTATATGCGCTTTCTCATCAACAAGGCTTTCTTGAAGAGCCAGTCGATTAATGGTTGCGACGTGCTCAATCTTTGGGTGTCAGACTTTGAAGATCGCGCCAATCTGGTGCAATTCCGTTTTTTTTTTTTTTTTTCCCCCGTATATCTTTTCGATCAACAACAAATCTACTTTAATATGACCGACGACGATAATGATGATGGGTATCAGATTCGAGGGGCAGCGAGGGGCGATGATCATCTTTCTCATTGTTCAATAGAATGACTTTTAGGAAAGAGAATAAGAAAAAAAAAAAAAATTGCATATGTAGTAATAAAATTTGGGGTCTTTCTAATCAGTCTTTTTTTTTCTTGTCCTCGCGCGAGATTATCACAGAATTCGGATTTACTTAAGTGAGTGGCCCAGTGAGAAGAATTGACGCGATCTCGTCCATGGACTTGTGATGTTTACGTTGCGTCTAAATCGATCATGTATTTCTGTACAATTTAAAGAATTATCTTCACGCACTTAATCCCCTTATTTTTGTACGAAAATTTTCGTACCGTGTACATCGTATCGATGAGAAAGACTAGAATCGATGTATGTGCGATGTGTAGCTTGTTAATACAATAGAATTTCGCGACAGATGATGTGAAAATGTTCTTCCATCTCATCTCTCTTTCTCTTTCTCTATCTCTCTCTCTCTCTCTCTCTGTAAACAAAATGTATTGTCAGCAAGCCACCACGTATTGTCTCTCGACAATTTCAACAATTACTTATTCTGCTCCTTTTCGTTTGTCTTTATTAGAATCATAAATAGAACGGAGTGTTCAACATTCGGTCGTTTTTTACAACATTTATAAAGTACATTAGTGGTACGAAAATCATCCGTATCAAGTGTCAATTAATAACAATATTAACATAAGACATAACGGACGAAAAATCAAAATATAGTCAATCATACGATACATATAAAATTTATCGGCGTGGTGTAGCCCTATGATAAACATCATTTTTCTTTTTGTACGCAAAAGATTTTGATCGCAACCTCGTTATCTTGCCGAACGAATCTTAATCTTAAAGATAATTACAAAATTTATCGCTGAATGAAAAATGTGTGCTTGATTGAAAGCATCTTTCTCTCTCTCTCTCTCTCTTTCTCCTCTCTCCTCTGTAATGTTATTATCTTTTGATTAAATATGATTTAATACTCTTGATTAAGAAAGAAAAAATTAGAATGCAGGATAAATAAAGAGACAAAAGCTAAAAAATAGAATTATATTAAACACTCCTCCTATTATGTAGATGCGTTATTTTAACGGGAGATTAATCATTAAATTAATGAACGCCGTTTGTTTACAGCCGGCTGATGTTGCGATCAGCGCTATATACATGATTAATTAGTTTGTCATACAATTCCATAGCTCTTGGAAAAACTTCCGACCTTCTCTACTTTAATTGTAATTTTATTAGTTCGTTTCTCGTTCACGCGAGATTTATCATGGCAGTATATAAGGCATGCGCGTTCTTTTCTTTTTTTTTTTTTCTTTCTTTGTTTCGCGTATGTATCTTAGTTTACGTGTTTATATTCTCGCGACACAGTATTATCGACGTTTAGATCTATCGTCTACTCTCGCTGCAGAAAACGAGAAACGAATTAATCGTGAGATATATTTAACATGCCAGTTTTTCTCTCTTTCTCTCTTTTTTTTTTTTCTTTTTAGTGAAAACGCGAACAACTTTTGAGTCAAAATTTCAACGTACAATAAGCAAAAACTACTTCTCGTGAATAATTACCAGTAGGTCGCTATAATGACAAACATGATTTACGTTAAGTCTTATTTCATTGCTACATTCAAACTTCACATTTCCGATAATAAAAATCGTTAGACATCAACATGCACCTAACATCGATAGAGATTGCTTATCGTTTTTCTTATTTTAATTCCTTCTTGTTACATGTGACAACTCGCTTCAAACTCGTTTCATTATTTATGTCTATTATTTACAACTTTTCGAATCGGTGATGATGATAATACTTGCTTTGATAGCGATACTATTAGAAACTCTCGATAAGATATCTCGATATTCTTACAATTCTTGTACGTTAATCTTAAACGATTCTCTCTTGATTAGGTTCTATCACTTATTAACGTTCGTCTATGTTGTAAAACTAAGCAAAAAATGTAATAATATTATCTACACACAATTCTATCATTCAATATCGCATCTTGTAAATTATAAATACAGTATGAAAAACAGTGTTCATTAGTTCTTGTTTCAAGATGAATAAATACTATACAGTTTCGGGAGAGGAGAATAAGGTTAAAATGTTTTCTTTTTCTTTTTAAATACCATGATCTTGATTGGATCCTGCCCAATCCTTCAGATTTACGCCCTTGGACTTGTTAGTAGTATCTGTCATCATTATCTCTTTTATCCTTTAGCACGCTTCGTGGTGTACGTATAAAACGACGCACTACACTATTACGTATGACGAATACAATAGTCTGCGGCAGTCTTGCTGCTTGTATTAATTCAACTTTCTTTATGTTTCAAGTTAAGAGAAAACCGTGTGACGAGAAACTCCAGAGAGGAGATGACCTTTTTTTTTTACTAATACGAATAAATTGTGAACTATTATTGCTATTTAAGATTCTCGTCATCGGCACGAAACATTTTTAGCTTATTAAAAGCACGAAGCGTACTAAAAGAAAACAGGTATACAAAGGTGTACCTTATTTATGTTATTGGAAAAGTACATTATACTTCCGTGGTACGACTGTAAGGGCCGGACTCTTCAGATTGCGATAGTTTTCGCTCTCGTTTGGCGAAGAGACCTCCTAAAAAAGATGGTTGCTGAGCCAATCCTTTACCACCAGCACCAGGGATCGTAGTTCCTGGATGAATAGGATGAACTTGTCCAGGATGTTTAATACCTTGGCTCATCGAGCTGGCGGAAGTAGATTGAAATGAAATAGACATACCACTATCCAGAGAACCCACGCTTCCACGACGCTGTGGCTTTTCACCGGCAACTGAATATATATATCATCATATTTTCCGCAAAAATATAAAAATATATAAAAATACAAATATATACTTTTTTTCTACTTACATTGCTCATGTATGTCCAAAAGGGAATTACTAAGGGCGGAACGTTTCAATTGCGTGTCGACATCGACTGTCTCTGCTCTGTCGGAACAAGTTCCGGGACAGGGACATATCTCCACATCGGCAACACCAGAATCTCTGTTCTCTGCACCACCTCGCGCGCCTCTACTACTCTTTTGTCTCTCCAATTCGGTTTCAATACGCAAGGTTTCCATCTCATCCATTTCACTGATGGACTCTCTAAGGTCCTCCACAAATTTACACCTGTCGTGCTCATTTCGAGCGTTAAATGTGACTAGAACTTTTCCGTCGACACGCTGAGAGAGTCTTATGCCATATGGATAATCTATAGAAGATAAATAATATAGCAACCGTAAGTAAAAACTTAATTTACATATCTTTATAAAATTATTATATTGTTGAAACTTACGGGGAACCTCAAATAGAGTAACCATCATGCCACAAAGTGTAAAGCTCTGTCTAAAAGTGTAAGTTACACTGTTCTTCTTCTTGCTCAAGATCTTTGTAACGACGAGCAGGTCGTTAAAGAGGAAAACCTCCCTCTGATGTACGCCGGGTCTTTCCTTTTTGTGGATGTCGGGTATCTCGTAGAGCCTGCAATAGCACACCAATCTCCTATGTGGCAGTGCCATGTTTGGCTTCTTCCCAACAATAGTCGCTTGGACCTTCATTACTTGCGATACGTGATCAGAGCCCGGCTTGAATTCGTTATCTTTCACCCGTTCGTAAATGCCAACTAGGATATCCCGATCTATGTCACCGCAATCGTCAATTCCTCGGAGATTTTTTATGAAATCCTCGAGCCTCATTCTACGCTCAGGCTTTAGATTGGGCGTATGCAAATCTGTATTAAGCATGATAATGGCAAAAGCTAGGACGAAAACGGTATCTGCAGACCGCAGCCTCGATATTACGTCAGGGTTACATTGGCAGTAACGTTGGCTGAAGACCTCCATTAATCGTTCGATCTTTTGCGCCTCGCCAGGCATTCTAAAGTAAGCTTGAAACTTTCGTAAAGCGACATCCACTTGCATTCCAGAAAGATCTAACTCGTGAGAGAAACATCTAAAAAAAAGTCGTAAATAATAAATTATAAATTATAAATGTACATATAAAAAAGTAACAAAATAAATATATATTATAAATTATTTTATAATAAATACATTTTATAAATATATATTATGGATGTTATTTAAAAAGTTTTTAAATCTATATATGTATTAATAAATTTTCAATTCTTACAAAAGAGATTTATCCTTCTCTCAATTTTAATTCAAATTTATTTATATTATTTAGACACTCACTCAAGCACTGCCATATTAAAAGTGTTCTGCAAATTCCCGAGGTACTCTCCTATCATTTGTTTGGACAATCCTTTTCGACTGATCAAAAATCTAGCAACCCCTTGCGGACTATTCTCCAAAAATCCACGTCTTATGAGATAACTGATTCCTCTTTCTGGTTTCTTATTGAAAAGATTTAGGCCGACCCTGTATTGCCGCTTTCTGACTGTCTCGGATAC